TTTATTTGACATATCAGGTGGAGATCTCCCTTAAAGATGCTCTTATGAGATTTGACACTGTCAACAATATACACACGTAATAAGATTGTAAGCTGATGCTCATGTTCAACTGAAACTGATTTTCTTTATATTTATTCCCCAGTGACACAGAGACAGAGAGATGACCAAAGCCGTGTGCAATGCACCAAACATATACAGATACAGTTAGGTATGAGCATTTATGAAACGTTACATACGTTACGAGGGGCATATTTATTTATTTATTTTTATATTTATTTTGTACATTTGACTTCTGATTATGTAGAATTGAATTTTATTATTGCCAAGAAGATCATGTGGAATTTATTGAATTACATAGTTTACAGACATGATGATGAGATGCGATCTCAGAATGCCCCGATTTATTATTATGTAAGCGGATGAGATCAATAAATACGGCACAACTATATATATCATCGTATATATATGTGGGTGGAAGAATAAGGCATGAATAGCATGATACTAGATAAACGAGTCGTAACACATGATCTAATCTCAAAAATAAGTTGAGCAAGAAATTCCATAAACTTAAATCATTTTATTTTCATTTCTTTCTGATATGGCGTAGACTAGTAGGTGATCAGAGAGAGAGAGAGAGCTTCTTCTCAACTTTTCTCATTTTCATTTCCATATAATATGAGGATACAGATAGTGACAAGATAGAGAAGAGTAGTTTCTGAACATTGACAAGACACAGGATGGATCATAAGCTGTAAGCTGTAACTGGTTGGTTGGCGCATGCAGCAATCAAGAACCCGTCTCTTTTTAAATTCTTTGATACATCCCTTTCACCATATAGTAATAATAGTACTCCATCTCTGCATATATTTTTGTTCAGAGAAAGAAAAGAAGAAGAAAGAATAAACAAGAACCATATTATTAATTCCATTTCCATATAAAGAAACAGCAAATATGGCCTTCTTTCTCTCTTCTTCTTCTACCTTCGTTCATCCCCAACTCCAGCCTATTGTAGCCAAAATGACTCTCCTTGACACCTTGTTGTTCTATGTAATACTCTCTCTCTCTCTCTCTCTCTCTCTCTCTCTCTCTCTCTCTCTCTCTTATATATGAATGAATTCATAATGAATATATTTGAATCAGGTTATTCATTTTGTGGACAAGCTGGGAATATGGCACAGACTACCAGTTTTCATGGGACTTGCTTACTTGGGTATCAGAAGGCACTTGCACCAGCGTTACAATCTTTTGCATGTAGGAAGAATCAACGGTCAGAAATACGATACCGAAAGACTGTCCTATCGAACGGCTGATGGGACATGCAATCACCCTCATGATCATTTGGTCGGGAGCCAAGGAACCTGTTTCGGTCGCAACATGCCTCCCTCAACCTCACCCTATGGGGTAAAGGCTAACTCCCCACTACATCTACTATCTTCTCTTCATATTTTGAATTAATGCATGCTTCTACTGTTAGTTTGGCCTTCTGTCCCTTTTTTCTATTTTAAGTGGTAAATAATTGTCCTAATTTTGCACAGTTGCTGGAGCCTCACCCTGCAATTGTAGCCTCCAAGCTTTTGGCCAGGAAGAAATTCGTAGACAATGGGAAGCAGTTCAACATGATAGCCTGTTCATGGATACAATTCATGATTCATGATTGGGTTGATCATTTAGAGGACACTGAGCAGGTATAATATATATGAACACTTTTTTGATTGATTGATTAATTTCTTGCTAGAGAATATTCCAATTTTATGGTTGGTTGTGGAAGTACAGGTGGAAATTAAAGCTCCTGAAGAAATTGCAACAGGGTGCCCTCTGAAATCATTCAAGTTTTATAAGACCAAGAAAGTTCCCACGGCTTCAACTTCTTCAGACTCGGATTGCTTGAATGCAAGGACTCCCTGGTGGTAAGTATTGATCTGTTTGTTTTTTGTTTTGTAACTCTAATTAAGTCCAACATTCAATTTCTGCATTTGATTCTGTGGTGAACAGGGATGGGAGTGTAATTTATGGGAATAACATGGAGGGCATGCAAAGAGTAAGGACATTCAAAGATGGAAAGTTGAAGATCTCAGGAGACGGCCCTCTAGAGCACGATGAGAATGGTATTCCTATCTCCGGCGATGTTCGAAATTGCTGGGCTGGCTTCTCCCTCCTGCAAGCATTATTTGTCAAAGAACACAATGCTGTATGTGATATGCTAAAAGTAAGTTCATCTCAATTTAATTCTTCTCTTTTTATTTTTTCCTCACTTTTATGTGAATATATATAACTGAAAAAGACTATCCCAAAATTTTGATTATCTGTTGGCTTTGCATAACACATTCAGGATTTTATCAATGTAAATCATATGTGTTGTAAAATTGTTTAGGTACATTACCCAGATATGGATGATGAGAAGCTGTACAGGCATGCAAGACTGGTCACTTCAGCTGTCATTGCTAAAATCCACACAATTGATTGGACTGTAGAGCTCTTAAAGACTGATACTCTTCTGGCAGGGATGAGGATCAACTGGTAATTAATGAAATTGATTAAGATATATAATCTAACCAATTTGATGAATCATATTTGGAAGCAACAATGTTAAAGTAGGCTGCCTTGCTTTCTCCTGTTGGAAGAGCTTAAGTTACAACATGGATGATGTGCAGGCCAGTCAAATTTTTCTGTTTATTTCTTTCCAGCCCAGCTTTCTTTGAAAATCAGATTTTGATTGATTGTTTCTGTTGAAGGTATGGATTTTTGGGGAAGAGATTTAAAGATTTACATGGACATATTTTAGGACCAATACTTAGTGGATTGGTTGGCCTAAAGAAGCCGAGAGATCATGGAGTTCCCTATTCGCTGACCGAAGAGTTTGTAAGTGTGTACAGACTGCATGCCCTGCTACCAGATAAACTCATCCTTAGGGACATTGAGTCAACAGCTTCAGAAGACAAATGTCCTCCAATAGTAGAAGAGTACATATCTCTCTTTCCCGTCTTAATTCACTCTGTATTTCCATAAAGGCAGCATGAGGGTGAAGTTTTCATTGTCTTTTTCTTTTGTGTTTCTGTTTAAAGACCTAGCTTTAGCATTTTATGCAAAGCAAATATCAAAATAAGCATTTAGATATTGATATGTCCTGTTACTTTGTTCCTTGTTACTGCTTTATAGAGTACCCATTAAATGTTGCAAGGCCACAATGAAAGCATATGCATGACTGGGATGCATGACTGGCTGCTGATATGTTACAGGGTGCTTATGAGAGATATGGCGGGTAAGGAGGGAGAACGAAGACTGTCGACAATTGGAATGGAGCAGATGCTCGTATCGATGGGTCACCAGGCATGTGGAGCTGTCACATTATGGAATTATCCATCATGGATGAGGAACCTCATTGCACATGATGTTAATGGAGAAGATAGAGCCGATCCAGTTGATATGGCTGCATTAGAAAGTAAACTATATTTCTTGCTTTCAATTCTCCTTTTGCCTTTATTTTAGAACACGGTTTATTAAGAGGTTTGAATATTTGTCTCATAACTCTTGAATCATGAATGGCTATTAGTTTATAGAGACAGAGAGAGACGAGTTGCCCGGTACAATGAGTTCAGAAGGAACCTGCTGATGATTCCTATTAACAAGTGGGAAGATTTGACGGATGACAAAGAAGTTGTTGAGGCTCTGAAGGAGGTGTATGGAGATGATGTTGAGAAGCTTGATTTGCAAGTGGGTCTACATGCAGAGAAGAAGATAAAGGGCTTTGCCATTAGTGAGACAGCTTTCTTCATCTTTCTACTTATTGCATCAAGGTATATTATACATGCTCAAAACCCCACCTTACAAAATAAACAAAATGCCCGCATTTCTTTTGTTTTTCTGTCTGAATATTTGGTGATGTACTTTTAGGAGGCTAGAAGCTGATCGTTTCTTCACAACCAATTTCAACTCCAAAACATACACAGAGAAAGGCCTTGAATGGGTTAACAAGACAGAGACTTTGAAGGATGTGATTGATAGGCATTTCCCTGATATGACAAGAAGATGGATGAAGTGTTCAAGTGCTTTTTCAGTATGGGATTGGGAGCCAAACCCAGAAAGCTATATACCCTTATATTTGAGACCAGCTCCATAATTATGTTTGTCATGAAGGTTCCTGGAGTTTGGAAATCTTGTGATATATAGTGCAATTTCGCTATATATAAGAAGCAAGATAGTTTTGTGTAATATACGGGAGCTCAAACCTATCTGTATATATAGGAAAGATAGGAAGCATGTGGCGTTTCTATCCTCAATAAATAATACAAGTCTCAGATATTTTGTTGTCTATCTTACTCAACTTGTGTGTTTTGATGAATTTATCTAATCACATCACATCACATGTTACTAACTGTTAAAACTATTCTAAATTTGAATTGTGTCCGAAACTTGAATCAATTATAAAAGTAAATTTATTCGGGTATACGATGGTTAGGCCAGTTGGTTAGGCAGTGAGTATGTCCCCTTGTACTCAAGTTTGAATCTCCCTCCTCTTAGATTATATTAATTTAGCGTAATTTAAATTATCGTTTTTATTAAAATAAATGAAAAATAAAAAAATGGGATCAAAATCATAAAGAACAAAGTAAATTTGGGCTTCTGTTATTGGTCAAAACTTTTGGTGTGTTGTTGTGTAGCCCATACCCGACCCAGTACCCCACACACACAGGCCGCTTGGGGTCCTGGAGATTATTGGGCTTTTGCGTCGTTTTTGTTGGGCTTCAGCATAACTCATACACGAAACATTTTTTCAAAAGAAAGCGCGGGAGTTTTCAACCAAATTTAGCGGTAAAAGAAGAATAGCCGAAAGCCGTCCAAAATCACCGAACCAATCCTATTCCGCCACTTCAACTTGAAGAAACTTTTCTTCATCCTCACGCCAGCGTGGCCATCTCTCATTGGTTTGTGTGAAGCATTTACCAACAGACCTGTTGGGTTTAGCTCTCAATATCAAATTTGCAATTTTGTGTCGTTGCCTCCTCACTTCGCCATTTGCTCCTCTTCCCGCCGTTTTCTCTTAACATTAAGCTCTTCGTTTCTTCATTTCTTACAAAGCAAAAATTTATTATTATTTAAAAAAAAAAAAAAAAACCTGAGGACCCAGAAAATCTAAAAATAGAAAAAGGAAAAACCCTAAACCCAGAGGTGAAGGAGCAACAACCAAATGGGTATCAAAGATCTTCTCAGATTCATGAAACCTTATATTGCACCCATTCATATCAATAAATATGCCGGCAAGCGCGTATGTAGCAATCCCATGTTTTAGTTTTCGATTTTCTCAGTTTGATTCTGAATTGGGTCTCTCTTATAATCATTCCATTTTATTTCTCAAACTGAAATGTGAGTGTTTTGTAAATTTATTTGCAGGTGGGTATCGACGCCTATTCATGGCTTCACAAAGGAGGTAAACATGCTGCTTCGATTCCTTTTTGGGTCAGTTGGGTGATGAGATTTCATTGGTTTATCTATTTATTAATGTTATTATTTTTTTCTGCAGCATATTCATGTAGTTTGGAGCTTTGTATGAATTCAAATAGCGAAAGGAAATTGAAATACATAGATTATTTTATGCACCGAATAAACCTGCTGCGTCACCATAAGATAACCCCAGTAGTCGTCTTTGATGGTGGCAATGTACCATGTAAGGCTGCCACTGCAGAAGAGCGCCACAGGCACGTTTCCACAATACCCGTTTGTTTTTCTCCATCTTATTATTATTTTTCTTTTTAAACCGTGTTCGTGTTATTAATGCACAAACTTGCTACTGATTCAGGAGAAGAAAGACTAATCATGATTTGGCAATGGCAAAATTTAAGGAAGGGGATATTAGAGCGGCCACTGAGCTCTTCCAGGTATTTATTTAATTTTGTTCACCAAGCGTGTTGCATATCTAGATCCTATATCGTAAATCATTTACTGTTGTTTGTGCTCTTCTTCTGGCCAGTTCATTTTCAGAAATGAATTGGGTTTGTGTTATTTAGAATCCTGGATGTAGTGAGCTGCATAAACTTTGAGCTGAAGACATCACTAGGAGTTATGTATTGCTTTGTCTTCTTTTACTCATTGCTTAGTTTTGAAACTTACAATTATCGTGACTAGCTAACGTGATTTATCATTCCTCCAAACTATTAACTCAAGATTCTATGGGAAGTTCAGAAAACATGGTAGGCATAGAAAGTGTTCAAAGTTCAATTGGGGTTCTATTATGAGATCATAATTTCTCCACATTATGTCGAGTGCTAATTCATCTTTGACATCAGTTTTTCTTGTCCTTAAACGTTGTATATATCTGAATTATCTACTGTGTTTGTTTCTTCACTTGTAGAGGGCAGTGAGTGTAACTCCATCTATGGCACATCAACTAATACAGGTACTTTGCTTGATGCACATTCTGTTTTCCTGCAAAGTTCTAATTCAATTATGATACCAGGGCCCTTTCATTTCTTTTTTAATTCTTGGATTCAAACCCAACCCTGAGTCCTGCGTAATTTTGTGCACTATTGGCCTTTCAGATTCTGAGATCAGAGAATATTGAATTTGTAGTGGCTCCATATGAGGCTGATGCACAGCTAGCATTCCTGTCCAATCTCGAAGCAGAGAGGGGTGGAATTGCTGCAGTGATTACAGAGGATAGTGATCTAGTGGCATATGGTTGCCAAGCTGTAAGAATCTCCATGAAATTTTGATATGACGCAGATAGAGGTCAAATCCTCTCCTGATGACTTCATTTTGATCATGTATCATTGAACTTGCTGCTGTTTTGTTTGTTTTGATTTGCATTGGTTGCAAACAGGTTGTCTTTAAGATGGACCAATATGGTAACGGTGAAGAGATGGTGCTGGAGAATGTTTTTAATCCAGTGGGCCGTACACCTTCCTTCCAAAATTTTGATCAGGAATTATTCACAGGTTAGTTCAATCTGACACTGGAGCTCTTTTATATACGTATGTTTTAAATGAAAACACCTCTGTAGCTGAGTCATCCATCATCTGAAACAGTAACAAATGTGCACAACATAAATTACTTTTGTATAAGTAACTTCTGCATCTCACACTGATATTGAGTATTGTTCCCTTGATACAGGGCCATCCCTTTTTTCCAACCAAAATTTTATTTTAGGCTTGCTTTCAGTCTTGGAAACATGTTTCTGTTGTCATGAGGATAGAACATATCTCAATGGCTCTAATAAGCATTTCCACAGCATGAACCAGCTTATAATCTGGCGTTTTTACAGGCATGTGTGTCTTGGCCGGCTGTGATTTCCTTCCATCAGTTCATGGAATTGGGATTGCAAAAGCTTATGCCTTGGTTTCTAAGTATCGTAACTTAGATCGTGTAAGTGTGCAGTACAGCTTCTTAAAATGTCAACATAATTATTGAATGTATACATACATGTTTTCTCAATATCTTATGTTTATAATTTATTTTCCTATTATTTTAGAACTGTTTATGATGCCTCATGCTTCATTTATTGGTGGCATGCTTGCAGGCTCTATCAGTTTTGAAATCGCAGAAGGGCAATCAAATGCCTGAACATTACCCCAAATGTTTCAAAGAAGCAGTTGCAGGTTTTCAGCATGCTCAAATGTGAGTAACATGAAAGTAGCACTGAGTAATAAATATACTGGCCTTTTCTATTTGTTTACAGTGGCGACTCCTGCTGGCCTTTTTATACTTCCATGTAGATTTGATGCCGAAAAGAAAAAGGTGAAACATATGAAAGCCATTCCAGAAAAGCTTGTGCATTCTCTAGATGGAGAACTCGATTTCCTTGGACCGTATCTTTTTGTTCCTAATCCCTTTTTATTTCGATGTTCAATAGCTCTTGCCATATCTGCATTTATTTTCCTTGACCAATGACAAATTGGACTAGAGAAATGCCTCCATCAGTAGCTACTGCAATTGCTGAAGGAAACTTGGACCCCATAAATATGAAGGCCTTTGATCATTTCCCAGCTTCTAGACATCATCAAGAACCTATTAAGAGCCAAAATATTGGTCAAATTCAGAGACCTGAGACTGCTGTGATATCTGCAGAAGATAGCTGTTTTGTAAGCTTTCCCTCCCATAAAAGCCGAGGGAAAGATAGTACAGGGCCTACAGGCAAGTTTCTTTAATTCTTCCCCACTCGCTTTCTTATAGGTTGTTCAGCACAATGAAATCTGCTGTTTTTGACTCAAATTCCGAACTTTTGTTCTACAGAAAGGCAGAATCCTGTTTCAAATGAAAAGAAGTATTTGAATGAATCTGCAGCACTTGCAAAGCTAATTGTGCCATCGACAAATAATGAAACAGTGGAGACCACAATAGCACCCAACACCATCCCGTTGAAGGTTCGCCACAACAATCCTTTCAAGAAACGGAAAGATGATGTTCACTCAGATCAAATAGGGAGCAAAACTAAACAAGTTTCAAATGCAGCTGAGGTGGAAATTTCGGACACCTCGAATGTCTCTCCCAGTAACATCAAACCTAAAGTTGTTAACAATGTTCCTTCCAGAAAAAGGAAAAATGATATTATCTTAGAGCATGTAGAAAGCATTGGCGAAGAGGTTTCAGTGGTGACAGAGATAGAGTCTTCAGACATATTGTGTGTAACTCCAGAGTCCCAGGAAAGTGTAAACTCTAAGCTTCCCAAGGCAAAAAGGGTGGTGAAAAATGAGAAGTTGAAGAGAAGCAGCCTCAAGAGTTCAGGGAATAAAAATAGTAGTATCTTGAATTTCTTTTCTCGTGTATGATTACTTTATTTCTCTATAAATTATTATTTCTATCCTCCTGTTTTATTTTTGGACACTTTTGGCTACTTTTGTTGAGCTGTTGCTATATTTGAAAGGCTAATCTTCGAGTAAATCATGAGCGCGCTGTCTTTGGATGTGTTTTTTAAATCCCACATCGAAGAAGCACGCGAGGGAAGCAGGAAGTAGAATATATAAAAGCCAAGGAAAACAACCGGATTTCTCACTTACCTGGACGGGGTCAATGGGCGATCAAGAAGGCCCATAGCCTAGGTTGGTGACCTCCATTGCACTTTGGAGGGGTGCTCTCCTATGGTCTCCCCAAGTGGGAGAGCCAACGTCATAATTTGTGTTAGTGGGGGCCTGCGTTCGCGCGGCCCCTTTCAATTCTCTAGTCCAACCTTGTGTGACTGTATCTTTAATTTAAAAATCTAAGGCCTTGTTTCTTTAATTTAAAAATTAAAGGAATCCCACCATCGCTAAGTAGGATTATCTTTTAAGAGCCATTGCACCGAGGAGCCCAAGTCTTGCCCGGGTTGGGAGTGGGACCCATGAAGACGGGCTGGCCTGAAGGCTAATTTCGCCCGAGCTCGAGCCTGGGGGATGACGTCAGGCGCGACGTCAGCGTGATGTCATCAAATGGTAAAAAAATTTAGACTCGCATTCGCTGACGTCAACCCTGCGTAATCTCCAACGGCTAGAAGCCACGTGTCAAGGCCTGGGTGCTCCGATCTGCTTCTCCTCCTCCAATCCAACGGTTGACATTTTTTTGGTAATAAAATTATGAAAAAAAAATCAAATTTTTTTATAAAAAAACCCAAAAATTCTGAATTTTTTTTCTTTCTATAAATACCTATCAATGCCCTTCACTTTCAACACCAATCCGCATACATTTTCTTCTACTTCTACTATTATTCACCATTTACTCAACATTTTCCTCTCTTTCAAATTGTATTTTATTTCTTATCTTTACGACTTCTTCTATCGAAAGCGGAGTGGCGTGGAGCACCATGGAAGATGTTTTCTTATCTGAGTCTTGGCTTCAAGTTAGTCATTGTCCTGTGTCAGGCAATGCGATGAAATTTGGTCATATGTGGAAAAAAAATTATGCCGAATTTATTGAAAGAATTCTGGGGTCGACTAGTACGGAAATGATATTGTGTAGTAGGTGGAAAATTCTCAATAAAGAGTTCGCAAAATGGAGAGATGTCTTGGCAAAAGTGAGGGACAATCATAGAAGCGGGGAAAATCCACTGCTATGACAACTTGTTCATCTTCTTCTCTCTGCAACCTTTGCCTTTTAACTCGTCTACCGCTTCTCTCATTTGTTTCTCGCTCTCGCCTCTCCAAGCATATCCTCAAATCCTCCATTGAGAATGAAATATGAATTTTAAACTCTGAGAAATGAAAATATATAAAGATGTGGTGTGAGAGGTATGAGCTGAGCTTCTGATTTTATAGAAAATTTTGGCCAGATAGAGATGCTACGTGGCTTGATTTGATAGGATGAAAATCTTATCTGAAACTTGAAATTTATCCAAATTTTGAACCCAAAAATTTAGCTGAATTTTGAATTTTGAAATTCATTCGAAATTTGAACCCAAAATTTTTATCCGATTATGAATAGTCTTGACACATAGGAACCCGAAAACATTATCCAAATTAATTATTGAGGTAAAAAAATTTGTGAAAAAAAAACAAAAAAAAAGAATAGTAATTGCCCTTTGCCATGACAACGGATGGAAACGGAAATGGCTTTTTGCAAGGGCAACCACTATTCACGTGAATAGTGGCTGTCCTAACCCCCCCTTTCCATGACAAAGGGCAAATGGGTGGAGTTGCTTTAATCCAATCCTACCCGCCCAAACGAGGCCTTATCTATATTTGGCAAAACAAGAGGTTCTTAGTTAATTAAATTGACGGAAAAAGATTACATTTTGTTCATCAACAATACCAGACAAGAAGCATAAGGGGAGGGGTTTCTATTTGTTATTATTCCCCACCAACAATACTAGACTAGAAGCTAGTGCTTGGTTTTGGTGAGTAGCTTCTTGAACCAGTAGGCGGACATTTTTGGGTATCTCTCGAGGGTTTTGAAATCAACATAGACTAGGCCAAATCTTGAAGTGTATCCCAACCTCCATTCAAAGTTGTCGAGCAATGACCACGCGAAGTAGCCCATCACATTGGCTCCTTCATCAACTGCCTTCTTCAGCTGAATGATATAGCTCTTGTAGAACTTGATCCTTGTGGTGTCGTGCAATCCCTTTGCACGTGTCCAATTGCCAGGATTATCCATGCCTGCAAAATCATAACAACATCAATTGATCATCTTCTAACAAAACAAAACGAAAAAAAGAAAAGAAATGAGAAGATCCTCTACCATTTTCAGATAAAATCACTGGTGGGTTTCCATAATGTTCTTTTATGTACGTTAAAGCTTTGTACAAACCCCACGGTACTTGGTAGAGCCAACTAGAATATGCCTGCAGATGTTCAGTACATCTCATGTCAAATTAAACCAGTGAGTTCATAATAATGCTTTTTAAGTGAACGGAAGTAACGTGTGTTTGGATTGGATGGTAAATTACCCTAGGGCCAATAGGCACTTCATTCTTCTTATCTGCAAATTGCATGAGAGAAACAGAATGGTTAAGAAAATAAGATGAGCATTTTTATGTATTATTTGTATCACAACATATCTATAGGTAAAGACTGTATGTATGCATCTTTATCTTACAAGCAAATCCTGCATTCCAGTCCTGCTGGTACCCCAAGACCTTTGGTTTTGATTGATGTGGGTCGTACATGTAGTAAGCAGTATATTGGTTGATGCCAACAAAATCCATTGAGCCCTTCACCATCTTAACCTCCTCTTTGGTGAACTTAGGTAGCCTATCACCAACTATTTCTTGGATTGTTCTTGGATACTCTCCATACACAATGGGATGGATGAACCTGTTAGTTAAAAGCCAATCCCACAATTTCAGTTGTGAATTTTCTCTGATAAAATTAGTGAATCGGAGAAGAATGGATCGAATTTGTGAACATAAAACGCGTAGGCATGTGCTTGCCATGTTAATTAAGGATTCTTACCATCCAACATGAAAGTCTCTGGCCCTCTGAGCCGCATAGTTGTCAGCCTTTGATCTGGTAAGAGGCTCATACCAAACAAAATCCAAGAGAATACCAATCCTTCCCTTTTGTACTTTCTGAAAACATAAAGCAACAAATTTAAGAACAAAACTAATTTCAGGAATCAAGTTGAGGTCAATGTTTCTCTAACCTGATACTTCTCACGGTATCTCTGAACTGCAGCTCCATGTGATAAAATCAAATGATGAGCAGCGATATAAGGCTCGGTGGATGAATTTCCAGCTGTGCAGTTTCCATATGCTTTGGAACACCGTGCCGGAGCAAAGAAACCATTATCATAGCCAAGAGCAGCCACCACTCTAGGCTCATTGAAGGTCATCCAGTTCTTCACTCTGTCTCCAAATGTCTTGAAACAAAACTCTGCATAGTCAGCAAAATCTTTCCTGCCAAGTTTAGAAGCACATCTCAGACTATTTAATTCTCTGAGGACAGCAGAAAATATGATATAGATTTTCTGAGTTAGATAGTGTCATGGCACTTACACTACTTTGTCATTTAACAATCCCAAGTACTTCTTCTCAAGTGCAAGGGGAAGATCATAATGGTATAAGTTTGCATAGGGAGTAATGCCTACAAAAACAAAACACATGTAAGAATCAAATCACACAATGCTCTGAATTAATTATTTGCATAAGTTCTGATTTACATAATTTAATTACCTCTTTTGATCAAGTAGTTAATTAACCTGTTGTAGTATGCAACTCCTTTCCAGTTGACTTTCCCAGTACCATCTACATTATACATACATAGATTAAGAATTAAATCAACAAATTAAAAATAAAAGTGACATAATTAAAAGGAGAGTGGATGATTTACCTGGGAAAATTCTGGACCATGATATTGAGAACCGATAGGCATCGAAATTTAGGTTTGCCATGAGATCAACATCTTGCTGTCACAACAAAAATAGTTTTTCATTTTCATATTTTCAACCAGAAATAAAATCAACCACACCAAATCTCTACTTTGAATCGAGCCCTGTTATCTTTCTACAGCTTAGTTTTGTTTGTAATCCCATGTCAAGTGGGGACCTTAAAAAGTCTTTTGGCACAATAATAAAGTGTCTGTAGATTACTGAGTCTGTGCATGTGTGGCACTTGGCTCATGGTCCTTTATCTTCTTTGAAAAAACCGAACTTTTCTTTTTCTGGGAATGAAAAAAAAAAAAAAAAAAAAAAACTTACTTTGTACCGGTGATACTGGTCCACGGCGACTTCTCCTGTACCATTATTGGCAACAATTCCTATATCCAGAAGAAATAAAATAAAATAAAATCTTCAGATACAAATATAAATAAATTGCATTATAATTAACAGTTAAAAATGAAAGAAATGGAACTAATTAAAATTGAGTACCGGGAATTTTAATAAACTCATCCCAAATGCTGGGGCCACGACCCTCCTTGTGGGCCATGCCTTCGACTTGATAAGCGGAAGTCGCCGTTCCGAAGACAAAGCCCTTGGGGAAGCTGGCTCGGCTCAGCCCACCGGTGTCCAAATTGAGACTCTCTGGGTCAAGGACTGAAGCTTCATTGTGCTCAGTTGCATGCGCGATGCACTGAATAACAAGAAGAAGACTAAGCAACAACAATGGGGCTCTCATCTTAAACACAAAGCAGCACAAGGTTAAAGGAAACTGAGAGACAGAGAGAGAGGAAGAGCACAGTGCAGTGTGGATATGAAAAGTGGAGAGGAGAGTGGTGTTTTTATAGATAAAGAAGAGTGGGCAGTGAGCAGAATAATAATATAATTTTTTACGAGTTTCCTAAAAGAAACGTACAAAATTTGGAAATGGAAATGGAGTGGCATCACATCACAAGTGACACACACTTGGTCCTTGCCTGAGGCTGG